ATCAGGCCGGCAGGGGAGAGCAGTTAGGGGCAATCAGGCCAGCAGGCAGGTGAGTGATTAGGAGCCAGTGGTCCAGGATTGTGAGAGGGATGTCCGACTGCCCCCAAGGGGTACCAACTGGGCTGAGAGAGTGCAGGCTAGGCTGAGGGGACGCCCCCCCCCATGAATTCCGTGCACAGGGCCTCTAGTCTATATATAATGTGACATGATACTAAAACGAGAAGTGGTGATGGAGCCCTCAAGCCTGGAACTGACTGAGGCCTGGAGCTCGGCTGCTCATTTCTGAGGTCAAATGGGCTGACACCCCTTCCAGGTTCACAATGCAGATAAATTTTGAGAAAGGACATCTTTATAACAGAAAATCTCCAACCAGGGATCTGGCATGTCTCTGTGGCAAGCCTTCTTTTTAAATTTATGTCATCTAATTTTGTTTTTGTCAGAAAGACCTTCCCTTCATGTCAATATTTTAAAATTATTCTAATCAACAAATCAACAAACAACAAGTGCTGGAGAGGATGTGGAGAAAAAGGAACCCTCTTACCCCTATGTTCATAGCAGCACCATTTACCACAGCTAAGATTTGGAAACAGCCTAAGTGCCCATCAGCAGATGAGTGGATTAAAAACTGTGGTACATCTACACAATGGAATACTATGCTGCTATAAAAAAGAAGGAACTCTTACCATTTGCAACAGCATGGATGGACCTGGAGAGCATTATGCTAAGTGAAATAAGCCAGTCGGAGAAAGATAAATATCACATGATCTCACTCATTTGTGAAATATAATGAACAACATAAACTGATGAACAAAAATAGAGCCAGAGACAGAGAAGCATCGAACAAACCGTCAATCTTCAGAGGGAAGGTGGAGGAGGGGAGTGGGGGTATAAATAGGGTTGCCACATGCATACAATAGTTGGGATATATTGTTTTTGTGAAATTCAAATTTAACTGAGCATCCTATATTTTTTTTTTACTTGCTAAAACTAATGTCCTTTACAATGGGGGAAAAAGGAGACTTATGTAATGCTTTAAACAATAATGAATTTAAATAATTAAATAAATACATAAAATTATTCTACCTTTTCTTCTAACATCTTTATGGAGTTTTTAATATTTGACTCTATAATACATTTGAAATTGATTGTGGTATGAACTTAGGGAGAGAGCTTCCTTTATTCTCAGACCTTCCTTTATCCTCATTCACCCCCCAAACCTGAGATGTGAGTCACACAGCGACAGCTCCGTGCACCGGGCGGGCTCTGGCCGTCAATCTGCCGCCTTCTCCTGGGTCAGCACCGCAGGCCTCACGTGTGGTATTCACAATCCACCTGAATGTCTGATAGTCTGTCTCCAAACCTCTCCCCTCCTCCTCACCAACCTTCTTCAACATTTCCTGGCCGCCTTCCCATGTTTATTCTAAGCTTTATCACTGTTTTGGCCCCAGAATAGAGTCACTGGGACTTAGATCAGGACGGTGTGATACTTTAATTTGTGGGAATTGATACCTTTACAGATTCCCAGGAAAAGTAATATTTATATCCATATTTTTAAACCTTCCAACATGTCCATCCAATTCCAAGATATATTCCACGGACTGTCTGTGTCCCTGAAGGCACGTCTCCCACAGCACCGCCTGCAAACCTCCCTCCAACTTAGTCCCTGCATGTTTGTGGCCAGTCGAGCCATCACTAATCCCAACTGCCCTCACCCCCAATCTGCATCCCCGTCGTACTCGATAGACTACCAGGGGCGCCTTGCTGACGTCCAAGACCGCTGTCTGTGCCTCTCGTCCCCTCAGCCCCGCAGCCGGCTCAGAGGCCGTGGATGCTGGGCCTGGGGAGGACCACCCTCCCAGGTGCTGACTGCAAACTCTCACTTCTGATGGACAAGCGTACAACCTGACTTCTAGAATCAAACGTTGCCATGTTAAGAAAAAGAGTGGGTGTGGGTGGGTAAGATCCCTGGAGAGATGAATGGCTCTACCATATTCCAATCACCCAATAACGCTGGCCAGACTCCTGCGAGAGGTGCTGGCCGGGAGCCCTGTAGAGAAAGGCCTTACCTTGGCGCCGCAGTCCGCTCCCTGCTGAATGCAGAATCCAATGAACCGTGGGTCTGCCACTCTCACCAGGATGTTGTCGACGCAGTAGACGTGAACGCTGACAACGCCTCTGCGCTCCATGTCCCCCACGATGTCCCAGGCGGCCAGAGCCCGGTAAAGGCCTCCGTTCCCGTCTGGGAAATGAGACAGCCCTTAGAGCACAGCAGACCCATTCTGAAGGTCACCCGAAGGTCGCTCAGTGTGGGCCAAGAAAACATGTCCAAGCAGAGTCAGTAGCCGTCACTGCATGAACAAGTCAACCCCAGAGGCCACACTTTCCTTTAATCTGCCCTTTTAACAATTTAGCCTGAAATATATGGTGAAATACAAAATTACTTATCAGACAATGATTATCCCACAATTTCCAAGTTTTATTACTGTTTGTATGATTGGCGTTGACTGCATTTGCAGCCTGACGATGTCACCCATGTCAGAGAGAAAACCACATGGAAACTTCATGTGAAGTCACTGGTTTAAAACCAGACGCACGTGAAGGTCAGTGGTGACCTAAGCTCCGTGCAAGGAAAGCCCCCTCCCTCTGCCTTTCCTGCTGCCTCATGTCCTGTCAGCAACCTCAGCCACAGCTGACAGCATGATGCGGATTAGACAGCACAGAGGGGGCTCAGGACAGCAAGCTCTTCCACTGACAGCAAGAATTAACACCTTTCGTACCGCTCAGGAGTTTTCTCGTGTTTCGCGCGCCTGCTGTTAAGGACCGCTCACGAGTGTTCTCGTTTTTCACGCCCATGGAAAAAGGAGCGAATCTAGATACTTATGTAAATTTTTGGTCCCTCTTCTTCATAGAGGAAAATGTTTTACGCAGTACCATACGTTAAAAAAGTACTAGGAACTTTAATTGTTTAATTGTTTTTGTAAATAAAAATGTTATAATTATTGAAAAATGACACCTAAAGTGCATTATGATGATTTAAATAACGTGCAGTTTGCCCGAAAACGTGCGGTCCCTGGCGTATGTCTTAGAGATTTCTATGCGGTACGAAAGGTGTTAAGAAGAAGAAAGAAGCCAAAAGCACCCTGTGGACACCACTGTCTCCTTCCAGCCTCCCCTCCCCCCACAGATCCAGACAGGAGCCTGCAGCCTGGCCTCCTGCTCCCAGTGCTCACGCAGCCCGGGTTTGTGCGACGCGGAGGCTCCGAGGGCACCGTGTGTGCAGCTGTGTTTCTCCTTCTCTGACTCCACCTACTGAGGCCATTTCCCTGGCAATTTAATGGCTCCAAACAATTACTTCAATGCTCTTTAAGAAGCAAGGGCACCGATAAACCCTAACTCAGCCTCTTACTTCTTAAACTGAAGGGGCTGGCAATTTTTCGCTCCGATAAACCCCGGCGGAGCAGCCTGCTGCAGAGGGAGCACGCGCTCTGGGCGCACACAGGCTCCCTCCAGGACAGACACTCGCAAAAAGGAGAAAAGCGCACCAAGCCCACCGCAGGCACGTCCGTTTTTAAATCACTGCCAAACTGCACAAAATTCTAAAGCATTCATTTTCAACATCCAGATGACGTTAAAAGGGAAATTAAAATTCAATTACTACGTCACCCACTCCTAGTCACCATTAACAAGCGAGGCCACAGACCTGGAGCCATGGACACCTTGCTCTTCTCTTCCAAAATAATTTTGCCATCAAAACTCATAGCTGGCAGCATCCCCTGCTGGAAAAAGATGACGTTCTCCTTCTTTAAGCCGAAGTATCTGTGCTTGGCGAAGAACTCCTCGGTGGACTGCATCGTCCTGCCGCTGGTCATTATATACCTGCAGGAGGAAAGTGTCTCCTGAGACCGAGCCATCGGATTAGGGCACAAAAAGCCTTGTCTGGGCCCCGAGTGAAAGGAAATCTTGAGAGCACTTGGCCTCCCTCAGGGAACCTCTTCCACCGCCTCCCACCCTCGGTGTCAGACATGCCTCTCCACACCTCCGGCAACAGAGCCTGCAGCCAGCTCAAGGGAAGAGCTGGGAACTGTGAAAAGTGTATTTTAAATTAAAAACCTGTGGACAAAAGGGGCCACATGCTAACCTGACAAGCTCAGGGAAGAAGTCCCCCCCTCCACTTTGCTTTCTCCCGCCTCCCTAATCCATCACCAATGGATTTCATGAAGCCCGCCTACGTCCCTCCTTTGATTGTAATGCATAAAAACAGGTGAAAACCACCATCTCTGGAGCATTATCTCAATCCACTGAGGTTCTGCTTCCTGGCAATTGTCGACAGTTTAGCTCAAATAAACTCACAGAAATTCTTTACAGGTTCGAATGTTTTTACATTAACAAACTCATATTTTAACAAAGTAGAAAAGGGTAACTATGATACATCCAATGATCTCTGGTGGTTTCCTGCTACAATTCGGAAATGGAATGTGGGCTCTGTCGACTTCATGTAAAATCAGAGAAGGACAGTTATACTCTTTGTTGCCAGCGCAGGTGGCAGAGGAGGACAAATCTAAAACCAGCACCTGGAGGACACACTCAACTAAGTGACATGTGTTGAGTGAATCAATGAAGACAATGGTATCATTCCCACCACAGTAGGTATCTGTCTCTTTAACAAACTGTCGTGGGCATTTTGAACTCCGGGCACAAGGGCTTGGGTGTGACCTAGAAGGTGACAAAGAGAAACACAACTTTGCAGCTGTGCGGAGAGAAGGAAGCCAACATGACCGCAGGGGCCTGGGCTGGGAGTCCTGCTGGCTGCTGAGCACACCATGTCCCTCCCACGTCCCCACAGGGACCCAGATGGAGCGGCAGTTGTGTGGGAAGACCTGGGCGTCTGGGGAAGCACAGAGCCGGTGGGAAGCAACACTGGCCAGACTCAACCGCAGGACCGGAGGGTCTTTCAGGGGCCTCGTCCTGGGCCACCTGCAGGCCAGGCAGATGGGCAGAGAAGCCAGCAGAGCGTTTGCTGGTCACATGGGGCTGTTACAGATCAGGGACCTGAGGAATCTCACACCCACAGCGGGTCACCCCACAAAACGTGCTAATTCCAAAGCTGTGGAGAAAGAGACTGAGGAGCTAAGTCAACAACGTCCCAAGAGCAGAGCAGAAGCTCCACCATGGGGGTGCTCAGGAGGAACCCTGGCGGAGGCAGACCTGGTGCCCGGCCCCAGCCCGAGGCTGGCCCACAGCAGAGAAGTCAGTGGAGCGGTCAGCCAGGGAGGGGGAGGTGTGGGGGGAGGGGGTTCGGAAAGGCTAGATAACCTAGAACTTCAGAACACGAGTTCCTAGGCTGAGAAAACCCACTGAAAACAGACCCACTCCATGTCAAGAAATTCCAGATCCTGGAGATGAGGAGAGACCCTAAGCGCTCTCAGAGAGGGGAGACAGAAAGCAGAATGGCACTGGGAACCAGAGCCGCCTCCAAATTCCGAAGGTTCAAACGTTCAGACATTCTACACACAAACCACCAACGAGGAGGAAATTTCCCGACGGAGAGAACCCACTGCACCCAAAGGACTCAGGTGAGGATGTAGACGCGGGGAGAACACACTGCTGCTTAAAGCTACAGTGCTCACCTGCTGGCTCAATACGTGCCACCTTTCACACATATGGTGATTACAACTCCCAATAAAACCAGCAGTAACTATGTCTGCTGAGGAATACAGCTCACATGCATTTTGAGTCTCTGAAACCAGCACATGTTGGGGCCCGCAACGAGCCTCTTACCAGGGGATGGTGCATCTGTTGCCATGGCACTTCTCAGCTAGCTGCTGAAGCTTCAGGATTCGCTCCGCTTGAAGCTGGAAAAGGGTCTTATGGGATGGCAAGCCAACATCATACATCCCCTTGGGGTATGTGACACCGAGCCGCGTCCCCTGCCCACCGGCTAGAAGAAGCACCGCCACTCTGTTCTGAGAAATGTGGAGAAGTCCTAGGAGAGAAAACGCTGGTGTCAGGAAAGCTCTAAACGTCAGCGCTTTAGGGCCCACCCCTGAGGTCGCCCTCTGCATAACCAATGAGGACTCCACACTAATCATGGTGACTCTCTTGTAATAAAAACATTTTTATTATTGAAAAATTAATTTATAGACACCCAACCAAAGACCGAACACCAAGTAATATACTTCAATGAACCAATGGTCATCTTTCTCATCATTGGAAGGTGACGACCAAGAGATGTTACGAATGTTTCACAAGTACTGACTACTCGGCAAGTGGAGACAAAGATGGGGCGGGAGATGTCTAGACCCCAGGGTGAATGGATGCTCTTCAATGACCTCCAGCGTATAAATAAATCAGTATTAATCAGTCAATCCACGAGCACGCTAATCTCCTAGGCAGCCACCATGCAGCAAATGTACAGAAAAGCAGCCTCAGTGAGGACAGCGTGTGCAGCGCAGCAGTTAGAAGCCAGGCTCTGAGGTCAGGACCCGGGTCTGAAACCCACCAACTGGGTGAGCTTAGGGCGTGCCTGCGAACGACAGGAGGCTGGGTGATGGGCATGTTCTCTCTTCTGACAGAGGTAATACGTGGGCGTATACATTTGTTAAAACTCCTAAGACTAGTATGTTAGTGTATAAATTATACTTCAATAAAATGGATTAAACTGCCTTTTTAATGGGCCATCCACAGGAGCAGAATGTGAAACTGAGTCTTTTTGTTGCTGATTTATTTCTGCTGCTAGAAGCTTGTCCGTTTTCACTAGTTGAATGTTCAGCAATCCTATATAATAAAAGCCTAATATGCTAAGTGTCCAGTCGTCCGTTCAACCAATCAAAGTATAATATGCTAATGACATGCTAGAGCCACTCAGCCGCTCACTATGATGTGCACTGACCACAAGGGGCAGACAGTCGACTGGTCAACCAGTCGCTATGATCTGCACTGACCACCAGGAGGCAGATGCTCTGACTGGAAGGTTAGCTTACTGCTGGGGTCTGGCCGATCAGGACTGAGCGAGATGGGCCGGACACTCCCTGGAGCCCTCCCGCGGTCCCTCCCCAGCTGGCCAACCTCTCGTGTCCCTCCCCAGCCCTGATTGTGCACTGGTGAGGTCCCTCGGCCTGACCTACCCCCTCTCACAATCCAGGACGCTTTGGGGGATGTCGGAGAGCCGGTTTCAGCCCGAACCCACAGGCCAGGCCGAGGGACCCCACTGGTGCACAAATTCATGCACTGGGCCTCTAGTAAGTAATAACCAATGCTTGAATAAAAACTATTCTTCAAATAAAAATAAATTCAGGATTGATTTAAGATCCAAATGCAAACAAATGAAACTATTATCAAACCACAGAGGCTCTCAGTTTTGATATTTTTAAACCTCTCTGCCTACCATGTCTCAGAGCCACCCATCATCATGGTAAGGTGACACCTCGGCACCAGGCAGTGACTGGGAAGAAGAGGCAGAGTGGATGCTGGGAAGAGCTGGGAAGTGTTAAATGAGAGAAAACAGTGAGGGGTGGCTTTTCTCCTTCCCTGAATTTCATACTTTCATTAAAGTTCTCAGAAACTGCCCTGGTTGCTGTTGCTCAGTGGTTAGTGTCGGCCCAGTTAAGGGCATGCATCTCAGTTACAGGCTTGATGTACGGGAGGTAACCAATCCATGTGTCTCTCTCACATCGATGTGGTTTTTCTTTTCTCTCTCTCTCTCTCCCCCTCTCCTGTCTCCCCTCTACTCTCTCTAAAAAAAAAAAAAAAAAATCAATGAAAAAATATCCTATCTTCAGGTGAGGATTACAAAAAGACACACAGTTCTCAGAAACTCTGTGAATGAAGCAGTGGTATCAATTATTGTTTATTTACATACTAGAGGACCAGTGCACAAAAATTCGTGCACTTGGGGGGGAGGGGGTTCCTCAGTCCAGCCTGCACCCTCTTGCAGTCCGGAACCCCTTGGGGGATGTCCATTTGCCGGCTTAAGCCTCTTCCCTGGGGGACCTGGCCTAAGCTGGCAGTCAGACATACCTCTGGCAGCCCGGGAACCCTCGGGGGATGTCCAAATAACGGCTTAGGGCACTCCCCAGGGATCAGGCCTAAGCTGGCAGTCAGACATCCCTCTGGCAGCCTGGGAACCCTCAGGGGATGTCTGACTGGGAGCGGGTCTGAGCCATTAGTCAGACATCGTTAGCACTGCCGTGGAGGCAGGAGAGGCTTCTGCCACTGCTGCTGTGCTGGCCAGCCATGAGCCGGCTTCTGGCTGAGCAGCACTCCCCCCGTGGAAGCACACTGACCACCAGGGAGCAGCTCCTCTATTAAGCATCTGCCTCCTGGTGGTCAGTGCACGTTATAGCGACCGGTCATTCCTGGCCGTTCCACTGTTAGGGTCAATTTGCATATTACCCTTTTATTATATAGGATCCTTAGGTAATGTGGGTCCATGCATTTTTTAAAAATTGGGAATCAAACTGTGACCTCCCAGTTCACAGGGCCAGGCTCAACCACCGAACCACACCGGCTGCGTTTTTTATATGTATTTTTTATATACTAGTACATTGAGAACTTAAGTAAAATTGGCAACATTTACAGGAAATGGGAGGGTTTACAGTGACGTGCCACAGCTCTACCACTTCCTGGGTACCATCCGCTTGGATGAGCTCCTCTCACACACCTTGACTGGGGCACCTGTCTGACCTGGAGGACGCCAGGTGCGAAGGTGGAGACCTGACCCTCCACCAGCACAGGGTGCGGGAGGCCAGCTGAAACTAGGATTTTATAGATTAACCATTTCCCCTAAAATGTTAAGCACATTTTTGAGCACATTAGTTAAACAGACTAATGAAAGAAACCTCTATTTGAACTAGTTTTAGTTACTGGGGGATTACTGTGAATTTCATTACGTTTAAAAGTGACATTGTGAGCAGTGATGCTGCAGAACTCAATGAGGGTAAAATAACATGACGTTGGAGGTATGCCTTAAAATACTACAGCACCGAAAAAGAAAGAGAGGGATAAAGCAAAAGTCGAAAATGTTTGATAATTATTTAATCAAGGTGATGTGAGTGTGGGAGTTCATGATACTGTTTTTCTCTATAAATATCTGTTTCAAAATATGCTTGACATTTTTCATAATAACAAATTCTTAGAGCAGGCTACAAAATTATACACAAACCATAATTGTGTATGTGTGTGTAAGAAAGTACTGTAAAATATTACCACTGAATATTTATCTCTGGACTATGGGATGGTAGAAATTTCTCTGTAATTTTTAGTTATTTTCCAACTTCTCTAAAACAGGTATGTGCTACTTTTAAAGTAAAACAATCTGTTAAAAATGTCACTGCAGCCTGGCTGGTGTGGCTCAGTTGGTGGGAACATTGTCCCATATACCAAAAGGTTGCAGGTTCGACCCCGTCTGGGCACGTACAGAAGGAACTGACTGGTGTTCTCTCTCACATCGATGTTTCCCTCTCTCTCCTTTCCCCTCTCTCTAAACGTCAGCACTTCAGGACCAACCCCTGAAGGTCACCCTCTGCACTAAATCACAGAAACTGCTGAGGGGCCACCTTCTGACCACATTTCCAGACAACACGCCCACCTGCTGCCACAGCACCGCATGCAGAGAACCACCCCGAAGATGAATGTTCCAAATGTCTCACAGGCAAAAAGAGCTGACAGCAAATGCTAAGCTGCCAGTATAACATAACACTGGAAGATTCTTCTGTGCTTGGTATAAGCAGGGGGTTATTTAAAAATGAAGGGCGGTTTACTAAGCAAATACACTTTCCCAGCACGTCTTTCCCAGTGACTTCTGGTTGAAGCCGCCGCCCCTGTCAAGGGCTCACGCTGTGAGACAGGCTTTTTGGCTGCTCCTCCACACCTGGCCAGAGCACTTCAAGGCCTCACTTACAGCACCATCTCTGGCACCCAGCAGCACTGTGGGCGTCACGCACGCGCAGAGCCTGCAGAAGTGATTCGCACCCAGTGCTGCACGTCCCTCACCACGTCTGAGCGCCAGGCACTGTGGGACCCCTGCACACTGCTCCTACCTGCCCCACTCCTGGGGCAACAATGATCTACCAGGACCCTCCTATTTTCTGACACATAACATCATACTCTTCACAATGGCAATCTCTTCCCCGTGACAACTGCCTGCGGAACCTCGCTTTGTCATGACTTCGCATACGTGGAAGTTTCTGGCTGAGGGAAAAGGCTATCAGGTCAGTTAAGCATCTCCTTCTCCACCCCTCCTGTTTAAACCACAAGTAAACATTGTTCCCTGACAGTAAGCCAAAAGGAAGTTTGCTTTGTACCTTCTTTTATACTAGGCTAGGTTGTCAGAGTTCAGTCTAATTTTAAAGGAAATTTAAAATCTTGTTACAGATTCCAACAAGAAGGTTGTAAAAAAGACTCAAGTTACAAGAAGCCTTGACAAGTGCTCATGGTCCATTTTACCAGGTCACAGCTCGACTCCCCTACGAGTTCATTCGAAGACTTCACCCCATAAAACTACCAGGAGAAACATGGCCGCTGGGATAATCGGGGGCATGAGAGGCCGCGGCTTCTGGTTGGCGCAGCCTTTAGAACGCAGGGAAGTAGGAAGGACCGGCAAGTCCAAGCCAGCAGGCGTCCCGGTACCACTCTGGTTCCAGGATCTCTGTGCAGAGGTCCATCTGGACGCCACTCTCTCGGCATGAAGCGAGGTTAGTCGCTGCCAAGCATTTCAGAGCTGCCCTTGCAGCTTCCTGACTATTGCCAATGTTTTCTCATCTCTAACTCCTTTTAAATAAAACTCATGCAAAGATCAGACACACAGAACAGGTCGAGCAGAACTGCTCTGGCAGTGGGAGGTGAAGGGGCTGGAGACCCACCTGTGTAGGCTCTGCTTCCCGCCCTACACGGGACAGGGGACAGTTTCCTGGGCGCGGAACCCTGGGGCCCTTTGGAACAGTTTGAAAATCAGGTCATCTGTAAGTTCAGAGAAAGATACGAGCTACACAGAAGGTGGATAGTGGGAGTTGTCTTTCTTGTGTGTGAGGAGCAGGGAGTGCCAAAGAACGGAAAAGAAAAACAGCCGCAGTGTGGTACAAATATGGACTGTGAGGTCCTAGCTGGAATATTACCGCACATCGAGAAAAGCAAGCATGGATGTGATCAAGCACAGGATGGTGGCGGGAGCGAGTAGCGACAGGTCTGCTGAGGCTCCAGGCCCTTTCCCTACAGGACCCCTGGTATTTGATGTGACTTCTGCAGTACAGTGATGTTTATTAGAAAGGAAGGAACAGACCCAGGCCGGTCTGCTCACTGAGAAAACGAGGCCCAGACCAGACGGAGCACATGTGACCCTCGGGCCTGGGCTCAGGGCTCAGCCGCCCTTTCCTTCCAGAGGAGAAGGTCATAGGAAGCACAGCTCTTACCTCCACCAAGAAAGCAACACTTGAGCTACTGTGTCATCCTCGAAAGAGGGACGGCTTTCAGGATCTGCTTGAGAAGAAAAAGCACTGGGCCATTCAACAAACATCAACCAGCTCATTGCTCAAAACCCTGTCCTAAGTGCCATGTGTCCTGCCGAGGACAGGACCCGCTGCTCTACAGCAGCCGAAGTGCAGTGAAGGCAACGAGAACAACTCTCACCACAGGCGGATGAGAGAAGGCGTGCTGAGGCCGAGAGAAGGGCGAGAGCTCCCCACGGGCAGTGCTCCAGGGATGGCCTCGCGGCCCGAAGGCCAGCCCTTCAGGCAGGACCGCGTGAGCAGAGGCTCGGAGAACTAACTACTGGCCAGGCTGACATGTGCGGCAGCAGCAGTGGAGAGGACAAGTGGAGACAGGGTTGCAAGTGACCACTCAGGCCAGTGGAGGATGGTGTTTCGTTCAAGCAGCATAAACATGCAACCTGAGCTTCAGGAAGGGAAATCTAGAAGCATGAAAGCTGAGGAAGAGACCAGAGGCATTTGAAGACTGGAATGAGAGGAGGCTCGGCTTCGGCACCGGAATGAACAGAGAATGCAGGGACCAACAACGGGAGACACTGCACAGGTCTTGGCAAAACAAGCACAATCGTCACTTTCTGAGGTCACCTGGCTGAAGGGCGTATGAGAGTCGCAGTGTTAGAGGGCTCGACTTTAACAGGCAGCGGAGCTCACCTACACCTCAGAGTAGCCCATTCCCCACCAGTACCTTCACTTTCCCAAGCCTGGAGCTGGTCTTGATCTCTAGTGGCACTGCCCAGCACCTCCCGGGGCACAGGCTCCATCCGTGCATCCACCTTCTCTTGCTGGGAGGACTGGTTAAACCCTTCAGTGGCCTTTCGGAAAAAGATATTCAGCTCCTCAAAGTTCATGGCCTGGAGTTCTGCATAGAGCTCTACCTGCTGGGCTTCTTCCAGCTCATTCCAGAACTGCAGCAGGTGTTCCTGCCCAGCTTGGGACAACCGGAGTCTGAGATCACTGACATTCATGATGCCCTGGGTGCCACACTTTGTGAAAACAGGGGTGTGATTTCTGCACCTAGAAACCTACAAGAGAAAAGAAATTAACAGCAGGTCAAAGTCCAGCCATGAAACCTGGTAGGTTTTTCCTATGATAAATAAGTACATTAAACAAACTTGATGTTAAGACATGAACTTCGGCCTTTCCTCACAGTACCTTAAGACCCCAAAGTTGTAAGACAACACTGAGCGTCGCATGCCGGGCACTTCACTAAACACTTCACCCACATGGACTCCCTCAGGTGGCGGAGCTGGGACAGGAGCCCAGACTGATTCCCGGCGCACACGCCACCCCGTAGTTACCTCTCCTCTGTATGGTTCCTCTGACCACTCAGCCATCACTGAAAGAATGTCTGACAGCCTAATAGTCCGTGTCCTCCTTTAATCCCTAGCGACGGCAATAACTCCGTTGTATTCAGAATACAACAAAATTCAAGACAGGACCATACATAATCAATTTTATTTCAATCATAACTTCTGCAAAAAAGGGATAAAAACATGCGCATTATCTTTACTAAGAATGGAACCCTACGGGGACAAGCAATACACACAGAACCACCAATGGGTAAGAGACTGTTTTCTGAGAGCATTCCGTGACAATACAGCAAATGTTAAGCGGCACAGCTCGAGAAAAGAACGAGGAAGTAGGTAACCTCCTCACCTCACAGAGAAAAGGAGTTCAGAGCGGAAGTGCACACAGCTGTGCCTGGAGGGCCGAGCAGATGACACAGATGAGAGTGGAGCAGGCACAGCTGGCGGCCACGGGAGCAGGCCTGTGAGGGCGTCTTGTGTGGATGGTGGGAGGGATGTGGGTTGGGCTCGAGGCAAATGCCAAGAGCCCTGAAAACTAAGTAACCAGAGTCCTGGAAGCCAACAGCAGCCCTCTGAACGGGCGGCAGCACTTTCAGAGCGAACCGAGGAGCAGAGGCGCAGAGGACAACCCGAGCAGGGCCACGAGGGACGGCCACACAGGCACAAGGACCAGGCGACGAGCGCCAAGGAAGCAGGCGGGTCACTGTGAAGGCATCACTGGGCAGTGACGGCTCAGCTCAGAAGGGAAGGCACCAAGGACACAGCCCGCCGTATCCACCGTGGGGACGGCGAGAGGCGGCGTCCACGCCATTCCAACAGGACCTGAGCAGCACCACGCACACCCAACACCACGTGCGCTCACGGGGCAGCACGTCCTGCTCCGCACACACGGTGCCTCTAGTCCGCAGGACGACGGCAGACGCTGCTATGGGACTACTTTGCAGGAAGAAATAGAGCCCAGAGACATGCCCAGGCCCTAAGCTGTGAAAGCTGGGATCCCACCTCAGAGGCAGCTCAGTCCACGCTCTTCACCGCTGAGCTACACTGCCTGCCAGGCAAAGAAGACTGTATCTGTGTGTGTGTGCAAGAGAAACACGTTATTCATATGGCGTTTATTCAGGAATACAGACATACTTGATGTTCTTGTAGCTGACTCACTTTGCAAAAATGTCGGTGAAGCGGAGAAAGGAAGAGAAGGCCCAGGCCCGTGGGTGAGGAGCTCTACGGGACAGTGTGAAGGAATGACACCCGCAGTAAAACACTTTCCGAGTCACACTGATTTGCGACCACACGGAGGCTTGACCATGAAATGAAAACGAAGGCTTGCTGATGACACGGGACAGCTCTACCGCACTGTGCCGAGACCCTAACCGCCCTCCACCGCCTCCCTTCCGTCTCCATCTGCCAGGACCAGCCGTCCTCAGAGGCCCCTCACACACTCCAGCCTGAAGTCGGACTTTATGGGTTTGGGAACCAAACAGAACCTACTTTTACTCCTGGGACTCTATTGCTTGGGCCAAGGAGCAGATCCGTTCAACTCTGGTACCTTCATCTGTGAAATGGGAACAATGAAATTTCCCTCACAGAAGTTCAAAGGCATAAATAAAATAATGTTTATAACTGATGAGAAAATGAGGCTCAAAGAGGCTAACTACTCTGCCCAAGGCTACTTACCTCGTTGATAGAACAGGAATTCTAACCCAGAATTTTAACCCTGACCCTAATACCTAAGATCTTTCCACAATCGGCAGCATCTCTCAAAAAAGCAGAGGAAATACTAGGCGCTCAGCTGAAGGCCTCACGTACAGGTGGGGGTATTACCCAGCGCGAGCTCTGGGGTCAGACCGACTGGGGCCATGCCCAGCTCCACCATCTGCTAACTCTGTGACCCGGAGCAAGTGACCTCATCTTCCTCATCTACAAAGCAAGGATGAGAGCGTGCTCACGGGAAGGTGAGGAGGATCCATGTGCCAGGGCCATGCTGAGCACTCAGCCTGCACATGACACCCAGGAAACCCTCCTACATGCTCTCGTGTAAAAGCACGTGTGTGCCCCAGACCAGAGTCACGGCCTCCTGAACACGAGGGTGGCCACTGTCGGAGTCCGGCTTTGGAGGATGAAAAGTTTGTCAAGGATACAAGAACGAAGAGAAAAGTCCAGCCAGTGAGAGTATGAAAATAACCCAGTGAATAAAGCATTCCAGGAGCGGACGCAGGGCTAAGGCTGCTGCTGTTCCCTGTGCTGCCGCTGCGCGGAGGACAGACGAGGGCCCAGCCACCTCTCACCTACGTGCATGAGCAGGTTCCTCTACAAGTGTCCTGGAATATGCAGATACATCGGGAGACTTTCAGAGGAAAACTATGGACTGTCATTGCCATTAGTTCGTGCAACAAAGGTATCGTGAGCACTACGGTCAGCCAGGTGATGGACATAGCAGTGGACCAAGCAACTCTGTGCACGCCCACACCCCAGCGTGGGAGAGACAGGTGCAGTGTCAGGAGTGTAACGAGGCAATGCTATAAAGACAAGCAAAGCAGGAAGATGAAAAAGAGGGAGGGGGGGGAGGGGGCAGCCGGTCCCCAGCCGGTGTGGTCAGCAGGGCCTTGCTGAGACTTCTGCCAAGACACCTGAATGACCAGCACCTTGGGGAGGAGCCTCCAGCTGCAGAGCTCCAGGTGCAGCAGCCGCAGCACAGGCACGTGGTTGGCTGTTCAAGGACAGCGTGAAGGGCGATGAAGCTGGAGCCACTTCACGAGGGCCCTGGATGCCAAGGGCCCTGGATGCCGAGGGCAGTATCGTGGTCTGGTTCGGGTTTTAAAGGGTCACTTCGCTGCTGTGTGGGGAAAAGCGGCCAGCAGACCGTCAGGGAACCACGGAGTCATCTAGAGGAGGGATGGCCGGGGCTCGGCACGAAGGCGAAGGCGGTTCTGGGGCGGCCTAGAGGACCACAGGCATCCAGCAGCGACTGCAGGTGGTGTCCCAGGTCCTGAGCGGGGACACACGGACAGGCCCAGACGTAGGGATGTGTTCAGAGTGAGAGAATCCATCTCCACTTCGCGTCATGGTCGGTCTGAGATGGGAGTTCAGAGGTCACCAGCGCCCAGGACACGAGCTCCAAGCTCCATGAGGCCCCAGGGGGGGCAGCAGACGGAGCCTGGGACTCACAGGTTTTAGAAGGCCTTTCTATAGGTGTCAGGAGATAGGGTGCCATTACCTGGCTTTAAAATTACCAAGTAAAAAAGGCAGCTGAGATAGTTTCTATTAAACCATTTTCCAAGCAATGCAGTCTTTCCTGAGGTTGGGGAAGCTCAGCAGGGAGCCAGGTAAGGAGGCAGGTCCTCCCCCTCCGCCCTCCCCACTGCCGGACCCTCCACCTGCCTGTGCACACACTCCGGACACCGCCCCCAGCGACAGCTCACAGTGCAGAGGGCTCTGCCTACTCAACCTGCAAACACAGTATGACGGCCTTTTAAGATACAAGTCAAACTTTTCCAAAAGCCCTTAGATACCTCCCCACCTTCCGAGGCTTGAGAAAACGAATCCTCGCAAATAAGACAACTCTGATCCTGGGCCGAGACCCCGCGCCCGCAGAGCCCAGGAGGCAAACCGTCCCAGGTAAGCAGCGACCTGTGCGGTGCGGGAGGGACTAACCATCTCGGTTTCACCAAGGACACTGCCCGCTGACCCCGGAGAGCGGGAGGGCAGGGGAGGCAGAGACCCGTCCACGGGCTGCCCCCCGCGCCCACCGGGGCTGGGGCTGGGGCTGGGGCTGGAGCCTACACACCAGGTCCAGGTACGGCCT